CTAAAAGGTTATCATACCACCAAAATCTTATACCGGCCCAAGCCTAATCTGTACATAATCTGTACATTTAAGACATATTTCTCTCATTCTATTTTAGAATGTATTAGGTCTCCATTCACATTGTATATATTTTCTTAAAAAATGTTCATTGATTATCACAATAAGAATACATTTAACATTAATAAATAATATATATATATATATATATATATATATATATATATATATATATATATATATATATATATATATATATATATATATATACAGAATTATAACTAACGTAGACTGATAAGATAGGCTACACCAATAGTGTCATTTAATTATCTTAGTTTGATTTAGGGTTATTAGGATTAGCTTTAGTTTTATTGAATGAAATTAATAGAAAATATCACTAAAAACACTTTGTAACATAATATTAAACTTTTTAATGGAGAATTGGAACTGTACTTGGAAACCATTACAGAGTCTCATGACAAGAAAGCAGTTAAAACTTACAAAATATGTGCTTTATCTACATTAATTGGTAGTATTTTTTTTTCATGTTTGACCAAACCACTGACATAGCCATTGTTATATTTCTTTAAAATTGTCATATTTCTCTTGTTGCAAAAAAGTAATATCTGCATTGCTTGTACTTCTATCTGTTTGTATTTCTATCTGTTGTTATTGCATTGAAAAAATAATAATAAACTTTTTACAGGTATAGCGACTTCAATAGCGCTATCAATGAGCTTTACAAAAGTATACAGCTGACAACAGATAAAAAAAAACACGTGCATAAAAACTAGTGCAAAAAACAAATCCAATATAATTAACGAAACTTAAATATCTAAAAACAAAACAAAAAAAATCTTAAATCACAATCAAATTAACTGACCTTAAAAACACTGCGTGTGACTGAACAGTAAAAAGACGTCAGAATACATAATCAAATCTCTTCCTCATATTATGCGTTTCATCGTTCCTCATATTATGCGTTTCATCGTTCCTCATATTATGCGTTTCATCGTTCCTCATATTATGCGTTTCATCGAAGTCAATCGTTTGTAATTTATGTGATGAAACATGGGTGACCCCTGCTGGCTTACATTGCGTATTTCATTGTGAGATCATGTAGCCAATGGAGAAAGCTGTGTTGCTGAGAGACAAACCTTTAAAAAGATGTAGCCATATGTGTTTGAGTAAATGTCATGTTGTACTAAAACAATAATGAGAACTCCATTAGATGAGGAGTGTTACATGTCTGTTTCATGTCACTGAACTGTTTAATACAGTTGAAGTAAAAATTATTAGCCCCCCTGTTTTTTTATTATTTTCCCCTAATTTCTGTTTCACGGAGATTTTTTTAGCACATTTCTAAACATAATAATTTTAATAATTCATCTCTAATAGCTGATTTATTTTATCATTGTCAAGATGACAGTGAATAATATTTAACTAGATATTTTTCATGACACTTCTATACAGCTTAAAGTGACATGCAAAGGCTTAACTAGGTTAATTAGATTAACTACGCAGGATAGGGTAATTAGGCAAGTTATTTTTTAACAATGGTTTAAATATAGCTTTAAAAATAAATATAGCTTAAATGGGCTAATAATTCTGACCTTTATATGTTTTTTTTTTTTTTATTTTAAACTGCTTTTATTCTAACCAAAATAAAAACAAATATCTCAAATTCTCCAGAAGAAATACTCTTATCAGACATACTGTGAAAATGTCCTTGCTTTGTTAAACATAATTTGTGAAATATTCAAAAAAAATAAAAAATAAATAAATCAAAGTGGGCTACTACACTGAAAAAAATTATTCAAAGATGATTCCTTGGATTTACTCAATTTTTTTACGTTAAGTGGTTGTAAACAATTTATGTGTGTTGAATTTAAACAAACAAATAAGGTTGAATATTATTAAACTTAATTTGTTTGTTTAAATTCAACACAAATAAATTGTTTGCAACAGTTCTGCATGCAACACTTTTTTCAGTGTAATTCTGACTTCAAGTGTATGTGAAATAAAACATTCATTAAATTGTTTAAGAAAATGAACATAGCTGTCTCTAGTAAAGTGTTGCTTGCATGCTAAGGCTATATGCTGCTAGCCTACTTTAAGAGCAGTTGGGAGATTTCTTGTCCTTGTATGAGAAAGTGTATTTTTGTTATGAAGTAAAAAGAAATATTTCTTGTGATTCAAAATGTCATCAGCATTTCATTAGCAGATAGGAAAGGTGTTACCAGGTGTGAACGTTGCTCAGCTGGAATGCAGACAAAAGCTGTTTCTGCCTCTTTAGGCAATTCAATTATCAAAAGTAACTGTAAAGTTCTTTAAAACAGGGCAACACTTCTTATATAAAACTTTAGTAAACCTACAACCTTTAGTAAACTTTCTGAAAATTGAGCATTTTTATAAAATATAGTCAGAAAAAGAGAAAATACCCGGTAAGTGGAAGTTCTGTGGGTGCAAATTCTTTGTTGATTGCAAAGGTCAGAAGAGAATGGAAAGACTGGTTCCAGCTGATAGAAAGGCAACAGTAACTCAAATATCCACTAATTACAACTGGCTTATGCAGAAGAGCATCTCTGAATGCACTACACGTCTAACTTTGAGGCGGATGGGATACAGCAGCAGAAGACCACACCAGGTGCCACTGCTGTTAGCTAAGAACAGGAAACTCAATTCACACAGGCTCACCAAAATTTGACAGTGGAAGTTTGGAAAAAACGTTGCCTGGTCTGATGATTCTTCTAATGGCTACTACCAGCATGACAACGCACCATGTCATAAAGCGCGAATCATCTCAGACTGGTCTCTTAAACATGACAGTGAGTTCACTGTACTCAAATGGCCTCCGGGATGTGGTGGAACGGGACAAAACTGCAGCAAACTGCATAATGCTATCATGTCAATATGGACCACAATCTCTGAGAAATATTTCCAGTACCTTGTTAAATCTATGCCATGAAGGATTAAGGCAGTTCTGATGGCAAAAGGAAGTCCAACCCTGTACTAGTAAGGTGTACCTAATAAAGTGGCCAGTGAATCTATCTATCTATCTATCCATCCACCCATCCATCCATCCATCCAGGCACGTGCACACATAGGGCTCAACCTGTGCAGTGCACATGTCTTTTTTAGTCTTGGATAGAAAGTGCCCATCCAAAATGATCAAAAGTGCCCCCACGACGCGACACACACTCCGTCCCGCCCTTCAGTAGGCGCGCAACAACACCGCTGATCAGAACGCGCACAACAAGCACCCCCCCCAGCTCTTCAAAAAATTTATCCTGCACATGCCCTGCACAGGCCTGTATCCATCCATCCATCCATCCATCCATCCATCCATCCATCCATCCATCCATCCATCCATCCATCCATCCATCCATCCATCCATCCATCCATCCATCCATCCATCTATCTATCTATCTATCTATCTATCTATCTATCTATCTGTCTATCTATCTCCTTTGGCTTAATCCATGATTTATCAGGGTTTGTGCCAGTAGAATGGAACGAACCGCTAATTACTCTGGCATTTCCAGTTGCAACCCAACATTGGGAAACACACATAACACATATACTTTTATAATTTAAATACACATTCATTCACTACAGTCAATTTTGTTTACCCTATTCACCTGCATGTTTTGTACTATGGGGGAAACTGGAGCACCCAGAGGAAACCCACACGAACATGCAAACTCCACACAGAAATGCTAACTGGCCCAGCCGAAACTCAAACCAGCAACTTCCATGCTGAGAGGGAACAGTGCTAACTGACCCATATGTATGTATGTATGCACGTACAGTTGAAGTCAGCTTAAACTGACATTCAAAGGCTTAAATTATGTTAACTAGGCAGGTTAGGGTAATTAAGCAAGTTATTGTATAATGATGGTTTATTCTGTAGACCAGGGATCACCAAACTTGTTCCTGCCAGGGTCCTGCAGATTTAAGCTCCAACCCTAATCAAACACACCTGAACAAGCTAATCAAGGTTTTACAAGGTATACTTGAAAACACCCAGGCAGGTGTATTGAGGCAAGTTGGAGCTAAACACTGCAGGGACACCAGCCCTCCAGGACTGAGATTGGTGACCCCTGCTGTAGACTATCAAAAAAATAAATAAATAAATAAAATACATAGCTTAAAGGGACTAATAATTATTTTGACTTAAAAATGTTTTTTTTTTTTTTTTTTTTTTTTTTTTAGTAAAAACTGCTTTTATTCTAACCATAAAAAACAAAAACAAAAAACAAAAAAAGCAAATAAGACTTTTTTCAGACGAAAAAAAATATTATCAGACATACTGTGAAAATTGTCTTGCTCATTTGGGAAATAAAAAAAAAATTCAAAGGGGGCTTATAATTCTGACTTGTAAATGTGTATGTATGTATGTATGTATGTATGTACAGTATGCTGCATTTGGGTAACTATTAGTTAACTTTCTTATGAAAACATTATATTTTTCCAGCTTAACAAAGAAAATCCTATCTTGGATGTACGTAAATGAAATTTCACTATGTGCACAAAAATTGAGATTGATTATAAATGTAAACTATTTTCGTTTCTATCACTAAATAAAACAAATTAATCTATAAGTTAGGAAAACCCTACTATGGAAGTTTTTTCCTATCAAAATTAAAATGAAAATTCAAATGCTTAAAAGATCAAATGATAAATCAAATGCTCAAACTATAAATCAAATGCTCCAACCGACATTGCAAATGATAAATCAAATCCTCAAACTGACTCTGCAAATGATAAATCAAATGCTCAAACTGACATCGCAAATGGTGAATCAAATCCTCAAACCGACTCCTCAAAATATAAATCAAATCCTCAAACTGACATCGCAAATGATAAATCAAATCCTCAAACTGACATCGCAAATGGTGAATCAAATGCTCAAACTATAAATCAAATCCTTAAATCGACATTGCAAATGGTGAATCAAATGCTCAAACGACTCCGCAAATGGTGAATCAAATGCTCAAACAGACATCGCAAATGGTGAATCAAATGCTCAAACAGACATCGCAAATGATAAATCAAATGCAAATGAGGTGTCAATCAACCAGCATAGGCGGAGCTTTAAGGCGGAAGAGTTTGTTGTTGACAACAACCGGTAGCGCTACGACTTTTTCAAGGCGTTCAGATTTGCGTGCACTATTCCATGTCGTATCCGTATAAACTCGTGAAAGAGAAAGCGAGAAATCTCCTACTGCTTCTGTCCACATTCTGAAGTGTTCATCAGATGGGTACATCTATCACAGGAGGCCACGAAAAACCATACGGAAAGATGATGATGCTACGTAACATTGTGGAAAACTGGATGGATTTAGACTTCTTACATGCAAGTAATTAAATCCAGAAAGACGGTTCCTTGAGTTAAGTTACAGTAAAATAGCAATAGTTGAGCTACTGTGCAGTGAACTGTAGAATTACTGAAAGTGTAAAGATGCTTTACAGTATATTTATTTTATCTTGCTGTAAATTATCATGTAGGAACTTCTGTAAGCACATGACGTTTCAAACGTTAATTTACATAAAGACGATTATTCAATGTCTGATAGAAAAATATAGGAGGTATTGCAGATTAGCAAATTATAACATTAAACAGACGTCTGAGTGATTTGTTTGTGTTGATGTAGAATGCACTTTTGTCAATACAGCTTAGGTTAGATACATGTAATATTAATACAGTAATGTTTTCTTCTGTTCAGTTGGTGATACATTTATGAAAGTATAATTTTGAGCACACAAATCACAGAGGTAATATGACTTGTCTGGTTGTTATAGAGAAGGAAGCACACATGTTTGTGTGTTAGCTGATGCAGAGTGACTGAACAAATGCTACCATCATATTTGTTTAATATTGTTGTTTCAAACTGCTATTACAACAATTTCTTTAATGTTGATTTATATGCCATTTCTGGGCTGGAGCAGGACTTGCAAGGCAAGAAAACAGAGAAAACCTGAATTCAAAACATGAAGTAAGATCATGTTATTACTTCCAATTCAGAACTCAAATGAAACTCAAAAAGTGTGCTGTTAAATGACTTCTTTATTAAGAGCTTTGCATAATCTGAAATGTCCTTAGACTGGTGTGTGCAGTGATGATGATGAAGAACAGCAGTGTGCTGATGAAGTAAATGTTGAAGATGCTGTAGTGCCATGGACAAGACCCTGCATCCCTCCACCTGCCTGCGTGTCCTCATCTGAGCCAGATGCTGGTGTGGTCTCTTCATCTTCAGTATGAATCGGTTTCTCAGGCATGGACAGCCTCACCTCACAACTCTGTTCCAGTCTGACTGCAGCACTGAGGGATGTGATGGCAAAAACAAGTGAAGTCCAGAAGTCCAGCATGCAGCAGAACATGGGGTTTTGTCTGAAATACATGATTGTTTGAATAAGTTTGAATAAAGCTTAGTTTCGTATCTTGTTGACTTGTATTTATTTATCATGGTTACTATTATTAATTCTTTTAATCATACATTCATATTTTCTTTAATTGTTGATGAATACATTAATAATTTCAATAATGTATAACTACATTATTTCATTTTTTGACTGGAAATTAAGATGTACTCACCTTGGCTACATTTGTCTAGTGACTATTCATGCATAGCTGTGTGTGTGTGTGTGTGTGTGTGTGTGTGTGTGTGTGTGTGTGTGTGTGTTTGTGAACAGCATTTATTATTTTTGTAAGTGTTGGGGTGGGCTTTGCAGTCTAGAGTAAATACTCACATTTTTCGAGTGTAAAATTTCTCCAAAGGAAGATCTTCAAGCAGCTGTCCGACATCTTTGTGCAGATGTACCAATGTGCCAACATTAGAAAGGCTATCAGGTAGGGTTATCAAGTTACTGATGCTATTAGGTGTTATTGTTCCGTCCCTGCTATTTTATTTGTATTATTGGGATTGTTATCAATAACAATTATTATTAATCATTATTATGCAGAAATAAAAATTTCATACAGGCTTAGGGAAACATTGCTGTATCTTAACAATTAACATAAACAGCAAAAACAGAACAAATGTAATAGATTTTCTTTTGATATAAGAATATATGATTATATAATCAAACAAGACTGGAAAACTAACTTTAAGCATGTTCTACATGTGAATAAAAAAGTTACACAATAAAGGTAACAACAAATTAGGTTACATTTGACAAGGATATCTTATGTAATAAAATATTATTTTAAATTAAGGTTTAATAAACCTACTATTTATTTAAAGTTGCGCTTAACGTCAGTTATGTAACTTTTTTTTATCATCTTGGTTATCGTATGGTTTTTGCCTCCTATGATAGATGTACCCATCTGATGAACACTTCAGAATGTGGACAGACCCAGATAGCAGGCAGTAATCGGCCCGAGCTCGGCTGCCCCTCGGCGCCTCCGGCTCCGACTCGGCATCGGCGAGTGTTATCCGGGCCGAGTGCGGCCCGCAGCTCGCTCGCGCACATGCGGTTGTGATGCGGCTGTAAAGCACTGGCCCGATTCCGGTCAACCATATCCTGGCCGCTTCTGGCAAGGACTCGGCTGATGGCAACCGATTAAGTTCTTATTTTATCTAGTAATCTGTTAGCTCCACGTTTAATGATAATTTGAGAAAATATTAATGGTACGATAGAAAAAAAAAAAAAAAAAAGAATATTTAGTGTGGATGGTCGCAATGTTTAGACGCAAACAAAACAATATTATTTATAAATAGATTATACATGTCATCTAGAGAAAAACTATGTAAAATTCGCTTATTTTTGAGATAGCACGCTCCTGTGCTGACTGTTTTTTTTAAAGCAGAAGTTGGTTTCATAATAAACACATGCGTTACTAAATTCCTGATCCAAACTCCAATCCAGACGGTGGCGGTAATGCTCCAAAAAGCTGGTTGTCAACCACCATGGCACGAAGATCACAAGAAGAAAAGGGTTGGTTTTTCAAACATTTCACGTGGAGTCCGGTCAGAAAGGTAAGCTTTTTACTGCTTGTGTTCTGTATAATTAGCGAATTTAGAGCTTAAAACATTTCCACGGTGTTTGGTTGTAACAGCGTTTAGTAATTTAAAACAGTTTGATACGAAATGTAACTTGCTTTAAGAAACACGACTGGAGCTAATGTATGCTAACGCTAACAGTTACAAACACGTCTGAAAGTTCCTTTTCCTTTTACACAATGTTAGATTGTAACGTGTGTAGTAACTGAAAACTATTTTAATTATTTTAAAGAAACATGAAACGAATTTGTGTGTATGCTAACTTTGCGTTAAAGAAAGTTTCTGTAGACGAATCCATTAACTAACTTGGCAAAACGTGTTTTTTTTTTCCTGATTTAACATTATAAAGTACCGTGGATGTTGAAAAAATCATTGTACAGGCGTATACTTCTCCAACAGTATTAATTCTGTGATTATGTGTAAATAAAAACGAATCGTTTTGGATTAATAAAATATTATTGTTTATCTTGTTTATGCAGTTAGTCACGAAAATGATCGAAACTCGACTGTTTACTATTCTCTTTAAATTATCCGAGAGAAATATATTACTATGCACTTTAATTCATATGTGTTAGCCTATGTGAATCAATTATATCTTTTGTTCAAGCTGTAATGGTCAGTTAATGTAAAACTGAACGTCTTAAAGCAGATTTTGATGTTTTTTTTTTGTTTTTTATGTTATTGACAGTGATAAATTCTGATTTAAATGAATGGGTAACAATATTTGTTGGTTAAGTGTCATTGTTCTTGTTTAACAAAGGTTAGTGAGATCATTTTGCAGCACATCACGACCAAAGAAGTCAATGGCACACTCTTGAACGTGAATAGGCATGCTATAGTTGTGTGCTAAAAGTCCATTATAAGCTGTAAACTGCTGATACATTTTCAACATAGATTGAGCTTTTCAGACATTACATTACTAATTGCTTCACAAACAGCTGAAATGGTTTATTGTTATTGGCTATCATCAACAAACATTTTTCACAATGGTAGGTTAATCTTCATGGGTACAGAATAATGCATGTGCTTGACCATCTTACAAATCTATGTCTCAGATTCATAAGGCTGTCACTCTGCATGAATCTCCGAATAAATCTTGTGCAACCTTCTGTGTACTGATTATTTACACTATAGGTATTATATGCATTAATTAACTTTGATAGTATTTCAGGGTTTGAACTTTTCTTTACGGGAGGTTAACAACAATGTGATGTTTTATTATAGATGCATATGAGGAAGCTCGACTCAAACATCCATACGCAACTGTGATTTCTGACTGGTAGACAGATGAGGATGATGATCGCCTGTCATACATCTAAAGACAGAACAGGTTTGTTTGCAATTATTTTAAACACATACTGTCAACATTATGTCATTGATCTATTACAACCTGTGAGTTTTGCCCTGGCACTATACTAAAGTGATGTTTTGTTTTGTAAATGTATCTGATTAAGGGACAGTATAGACACATCTATACCATGATGAAGAAAAATTACTTGGAACAAAGAGGCTGGATAAAAGGCAGGTATGAAGATTTCAGAAATCAATGCAGCACCACAAGTCACATCACCATCAATGACTATGGCAGAAATCTTAAGACCACCATCAAGATGCACAGATACTGTACATTCCAGTACACCAGGCGTGTCCAAACTACGGCCCGCGGGCCATCTGCGGCCCGCGAGGCTTTTTGTAAATATCAATAGAATCTGGCCCGCTATACAAAAATGAACGTAATTCAATAAATAACCACCGGGTGTCGCTATTACATGCATTCAATTAAGCAGCAGTTCTTGTTATGATCTATCTATCTATCTATCTGTCTGTCTGTCTGTCTGTCTGTCTATCTACACACAGTTGAAGTCTGAATTATTAGCCCCTCATTGATTTATTTCTTCTTTTTTAAATATTTCCCAAATGATGTTTAACAGAGCAAGAACATTTTTACAGTATGTCTGATAATATTTTTTCTTTTGGAGAAAGACTTATGTTTTATTTCGGCTAGAATAAAAAGCGGTTAAATTTTTTTTATGAACCATTTTAAGGTCAAAATTATTAGCCCCTTAAGTCTTCAGAACAAACCATTGTTATAAAATAACTTGCCTAATTACTTTAACTTGACTAGTTAACTTGATTAACCTAGTTAAGCCTTTAAATGTCACTTTAAGCTGTATAGAAGTGTCTTAAAAATATCTAGTCAAATATTATTTACTGTCATCATGGCAAAGATAAAATAAATCAGTTATTAGAAATGAGTTACTAAAACTAATATGTTTAGAAATGTGTGGAAAAAATGTTTAACTCTCCGTTAAACAGAAATTGTGGAAAAAATAAACGGTGGCTAATAATTTAGGGGGGCTAACAATTCTGACTTCAACTGTATATATATATCATGTCATATATATATATATATATATATATATATATTTATATATATATCATGTGTATATATATATATATCATGTCATATCAGACATATATATATGTCTGTGTGATGTATGTAAAATTTGGCCCGCGACAACGTTTGTTTTTTTGCATCTGGCCCTCGGCCCAAAAAGTTTGGACACTCCTGCAGTACACCTATGAACATTTACAGTCTTTGTTCTAGTGCAGTTTGAGATCAAGACAGAACTTATTGCATCTCGTGATGTTTTTGTAAGACATCACTAAATTTGTTAAGGTTTAATGCAGCTAGAAAGTAAAGATCAACTAGAGAATATCAGCAGTGTCTAACCCACTGTTGTATTTACAGAAGTTGTATGAGAATAAGCTACAGGTTGATTTATACTAATCTGTTATTTTTCTTTTTTAGCACGACTGACTGAAGTTTTAAAATCATGCAACGTCATAAAGCAGCAGCTGGGCCTGATTCTCACAAAACCAAAACAGACGTGATGAAATTCCAGATGTAAACACATTTGACCTTCCTTTGGCCAATTGGATTTGGAAAAGCTTGAAAATCAACTAAAGGAGCAGCCTGAACAAATGAAGAAACTGGTAAGTTCAAGCTCTTGCTAATTTCAAAGTGTTTTAAGTTTATTTGTTTTTTTTTTATTGTTTTTTTTTTTTTGCTTCGTAGGTAGCCTACTTTTTTCCTAATTTTTTCTTTTTTTTTACATTAGTACTTGTTCACTACTAATTATCTGTTTATCTTTTAATCACAGATGGAGTGAGGACAAATGTCCATACCACACCACTGATAAAGAAGTGGAAAAATGCATTACAAGGTAGCTACAACTTGCCCCTGACAGGGATGGAGGAAGAAAGAAGAGAAAGCTAATGTGTCAAATGTCTACATCACTATTTTGTTTTAATTTTTAAACAACATTTTAAGTGTATTAGGATGTTCCCTGATACTTGAACAATTTGTTTCTTTCATTTGCATTTATATATATATATATATATATATATATATATATATATATATATATATATATATATATATATATATATATATATATATATATATATATATATGTGTGTGTGTGTGTATATATGTATGGAATGTATGTATGTATGTGTGTGCGCCAAATTGTAAAGAAACATCTTGATACATTTTTAATAAACGTAATACAAATAAAATTATAAATATAAAATTGCACAAGACGTGTGTATATATATGAAATGTATAATCATCTCACTCATGTCTTGCTGTTTGTGCAATTGATTTTGTTCTGCAATTATTTATATATATATATATATATTTGTTTGTTTATTATTATTTTAATGTTTTATTAAAAAATGTTTCAAGATGTTTCTTCAGAATTCTGCAGTACTTTTTACAAGTTTGACTTGGATATTTTACGGATTGTCATTGGTATTTTTAAGATGTTTCTTGCTATATCTTAAATTGGTTTCTATATTTAGGTTTATATAAAATTTAGCTGTTTTTTACAAATTTTTA